AAGGAACATATATATCTATATACACACACAAAGTTAAATATGACTTGCCTTTTGCACATGGATAGCGCCTCATTCATTTAATAAATTAGCGCCAGTACTGAGCCCACCTATGAATGGTTTCAACCATTTGAGGAAACAATGCACTAACACTCTCATTAATCAGATCCTGGAAAAAATGTATGCAGGCCTCATCATCCAGGTCCAACCGAAATTTCTCCTGAAGCTGCAAGTATAATAGAGCCTTAATATTTTTATTTCAAAAAAATAATAATAATATAGCAGCCTTAGTCATAACAAGCAAGAAAAACATTCAAGCAGAACCATAACAGAGCTTTAGCAATAACAAGAAACAGAGACATTATCAAGCACAACCACAATATTAGAACTCACCTTAAGAATACCTTTTTCAGGATCACAAGCCAAGTCGGGGATGTTGGAACCCGCCATCAAGTAGAAAAGATTCAAAATCAGGTTACTAGATTTGCGAAGAATGTTGTACGCTTCACAACAATAGGACTTGAACCTTGTATAGTATTGACTGCATAATGAGATGGTAATATATAAATTTTCTTCTTGCATATTGAAGTCACAGCAGAGCTTAATAATGGTTCCTCAATCGTGTCAGATTATTGTTTAAGTTATAGATATAACATTATTTTCCTTTTATTCTTGAGCATTTGATCGGCTGTCCACTGTATACTTTTAGTTTCCGTGCTAATATTTCTATAAGAACTCCTATCTAAGTATAGTTCAGTAAAATAAGAACAACCTTTCTGCTCCACCCATAGCTTCAACCATTTCTTTGCAAAGCTTCATTGGTGGAGGGAAGGGCTTAGGATCTCGCCCAAGAATAAAACCAAAATCAACATGGAAAAGGCGCCCATCATCCCTTAGAAGAAGATTGTCTAGGTGTCTATACAGCAAAAAAAGAAATATTTAGAGCAACGCTTCATTTTGGAAAATTCAGGATTACTCAATTAAGCAGAATATTAACATCCATTGCGTTAATTTGGAGTGCACGATAAGAATATAAATGCATGATATTCCATAAAGTATAGATGATGATAAAAGGAAATGATGAAACAGGACTCTGACTGCATGTGGCATCTGAATGGGACTCTGAACTTGACACATGATATTCCAGGAACTGATGAGACAGATTCTCATGCAAAGATAATTTATTCATTCATGAAACATCATTTAACATTCGTCAGGAATATCTTTCTCCATTAGCTAGTGAAGACAGGCTTTCCGTGGTCCTGCTGCAGCTTCGGACTGTTTGTCCTGTCTAAACCCACCTTTTTCCCTTCCAGGAGCAGGTAGGTTGTTTGCCTATCTCAATATATACACTTAAACACATTCCCAACCGAGAGAGAAATTAATTAACTTCAAACTTTATACAGCAACAAAGATTTAAATACTGTTGCCGGCAATCATATTTTTACATATTTTCGCATCTGTATAAGTCATGTAGTAGGCAAAAAACACAGAGAAATAAAATTGGACAAACACCAACAAGAAGATGAGTATAGAAACCTTATTTGCAACTAAATGATCCCCATCTCTTTGCCAAAAAAAAAAATAATCACCTGTCTCCAATGCCCAGTATGTAAGTGATAACAGAGTAGCCAGCGCAACTTTTTATGAATGTCTCAAGACAGGTTGCTGTAATCCCGAATGGCCCATGCTCATCTGGGTGAAACTTTTGCAGATAACTTATAATGCTGCGATGCTCTGAAAGAATCTGCATATCCAAGGGAAGTCATGTCCATAACCCGTAAAAAATTCATATGTTACAGAAAATAACTTATTTAGTATCTGTATGCTAGAATTTCCAGAACCAAATTAATCTTGAAAGAAATGAACAAAAATGCCAAAATTAGGGGAAAGTACAGGCAGAGAAGGGGAAGTATCAAATGAGAGGCCCTTCTTTGAAGAACCTTCAGTTGCAATTGAAATGCCTGCCAACATATATATTTCCAGTATCATGACAAAGTAAGGCAACAAACTAGAATGTCACCAATGGAAACGGGTAAGAAATGAACATCTAGTTAAAAGTTAATGATTTAAAGACCAAATGCTCAAGTCACATTTCACATAAACACCTAATCTACTTGCCCATATGCATTTTGAACAGAAGTGTTGCCTTCAAATACCGAGATTAGAAAAAATAGAGAAAACACAAAAATATAGTTTAATTATATGTAAGAACTTGATATCTCCATTATCATCATCTAAGAAGCATCTTCAATATAACATACCTGTGCCAAAGAACGAGATGGTATGAATTCCAACATTCCCTCATCTTGTCCAGTTGCCAGCACCTTGTACGGAGTTAAGTGCAGATCAAGATTTTCCAACTTAAGCAATCTATCCATTAGTGAGACCATTTGAACAACCTAAAGGAATTACAAATCACAAAGTAAACAATGAACCGCTATCTGTCCCTCAAAGCCTTGAACCAAGATTTAGTAAATGCAAATCATTTTCAAAGCACTTACCAACTGGTCTTGCCGCAGATCATCACCCTTCTTAAATATTATCTTGCAGCTGCCACCATTTTCTGTGCGGAAAGTCAGACGTAAAGGATGAAGTGCACTTTTAAATATTGATGACTCTGATGGCACGATCCCCGTGATGAGAACACTAGGAGCTAGCGGTGATCGTATCGGCTGAAAATAAAATAGATAAATGCATATAAGATAGCAATCAGTAACATTTAGCAGCCACCAACAGTTAAGCAAATTATATCTGAATGCAAGTTGTCAATCTTCGAAGGAGACTCCATAAAAGAAATACCTCCTCAAAGTAGGTAAGTTCACTAAGAAGTCCAGAAAGGAGCTGCCTAAGCTTTTCAATTTTCTTCTGGGTATTGCCTCGTACATTTCTCACATCTCTTGTTATTGAACAAAGTTGTGCAGTCAATTCTGTCTGTCGTACCAAACTGTGCCACAACTTAAATCCATCTTCTTCGCTACTTATGCCTGGCGTTAACTGCCAGAAAGAAAAAACTATCAATAAAATGCAGTAACAAAATCAAGGCAGTAACTTTTTGACAGTTCAAATTTCTTCTTCCAAAGATGACATTCTCAGCCCAGCCAGAACCCTGAGAAACCTTTGCCCAATAAATCAAGGATCTGCATGTGTATCTTTTTCGACAAATAATCTCCAGCTTTACTGTCAGAAACCATGCTTCTAAGATTTTTAACTAATTGGAAAATCGTATTTTCCATCAGTATGAATAGAGCTCTTCTTATAAGCTGTATATCATGAGTCAAATAGTCAACAGATCATATATCAGATTGTTTTAATTTATAGAGAAATTATCCTATAACTATACACCCAAGCATCATAAATTAGATAGAGAAGAAATATGAGCATGCAACGATAGAACTAAAAATTCAAACCTTCATCATATTCTCTTCCAGGATCTCATAGGTCCAATAGAACCGCTTTGCGTATGCAGGATCATGAAGCTCCACAGCAACATACCAACGAAGAAAGCTAGCTAACTCAATATTGTGCAGTGCTGTTAAAGTTCAAGATCATGTTTAGATGCCAAAATTGACTGCATTATATGGTAAAATATAGAACTTGAGCACCATACAAATATCATATATGTTAAGTACTGCACTTACAACGTTGGACAAGGAATTGAGAAAGACGAGATTTATCAGACCGCTCAAACCGAAGAGCCTGAACCAGTTGAAGTAGGTAACACTGGAGCTCTTCATCGTCAGCTCTTTCAAGGACACTGACAGCATATGCACGGACCTGTGAACAGAGAATGCAGTAAGGAACTATTCAGCCTAAACCAGATTGTAAAATGTTCTTGAGTATTTGTGATATATTAGGATCATTGGACTATATCCAAGTTAATTCTTTTTTGATAAAAAAAGAAATATCGTTAAGAGAAACAAAAGATAAAGTACAATGTCGAAGGATAAACTATCCCCTATAGCCTTTATACATAAACTCCAGAACGTAATTAGAGCAGAAACCAACAATATTATCACACTGAAATGGATAAATCAGTAAATTGCCATTTGGCCTTAGCTCATAAGGAAGCCAGAAACATCATCTGGTCCAAGAGAACATGGACTCGTAAGATACGATCTCCAAAATCCTGTTGTTCCTTTCCAACCATAGGGTTCACATTATCACAAAAAAGATATTCCACTTAAAATCACCAGCATTCATGCTCTCAATATATATTTATATATAAATAAATATATATATATATATATCACCACCATTCTTCGCCCTTGTCTTTTTTCACCATGCCCATATACTGCGCAACATGCCTCATTTTGGTGTTCTGACTTTTGCAATATATTGTTTGCAATTAAAGCAGGTGTGTGAAATGTCCTGGAAAGGTGTATTAAAGAAAGTGTACTTTATATAAATGAAGTTAATGGATACAAGGACAAAATACACCCTATTTAATTAATTATCTATTTCATTTTCTATTAGAGAAAATCTGTATATATAAAGTTGTGATATTTAATAAAATACACATTCGACTATTTTTCATAAGGAATCTTATTCAGGAAGAGTGATAGATTACTTTTATAAGCTTATACAGATGCAAATTCTGCTAAGTAACTGGTAGATAGAGATTAATCATAGGTTATTGTACCTTATTTAGGGGTAGCCTAATTACTTGTGGAGTAAAAAGCAAAATGTAATTGTTAGATTAGATTAAGTGCAGAATCAGAATTTCAAGTAATAACCAAGGGGTACGTAAACTATTATAGATAAAAATAATTTTAAAAAATCTAAGAATCAAGTGGGAGACCCTATGCATCTATGCTATGATAAAAAATTATTCATAAATATTACATATAATCTAGTACAACATGACTGGATAAAAAATATCGAGAGACATTTTATCAAAGAGAACTTGACAGTAACCTAATATGTACTCAACACGTCTATCAGGTCACAATTAGTAGATGTGTTGGTTAAATATTTGAACATCCAACATTTCAGACTATCATTGGCAAGTTAGAGATGGACAATATTTATTTCCTAACTTGAAGGGGAGAGCTAAAAAATTGTATTCTTGTTAATTAAGTTAAAGGGTATCTGGGCAAAATATACTTTATATAATTGTCTTTTCCTTTTCTATTTTAGAAAACCTTTATACCGTGATATTCAGTAAAATACATAGTCAACCATTCTTCAAATGGAAAATTTTTCTCAATGTCTAGCTTTGCCGTTTCCCTAATCTCCCATAAATCTTGGTCTACATGTCTAAACTAACCCCAACTCAGCCCTCACTAATGCCAATGGCCTACTAACCTGAGGAAGGAACAGACTAAATTTGGCAAGAATGTCCAGCTAAAACATTAGGAGATCTTTATTCTCCTTGACATATTAGTCATTTGAATATGCAAGGTAGAAAGCAACTCTTGGAATAACAAAGTTACCTACTCAGAATCATGCCACAAAGAGGGTAGATAAAAATAAGGCTCATGGTTGTCTGAGAAATTTCTTTGCCTTTGTTACAGAGGAATTAGGATGCATTTTGTACTGACCTTTTCCTCGGTTAGTTTCGCCTCCATTCTAGTAAGGAGGATTTTCAGAGATGTTTTATCCTCTAATCTTGTAATTTTGTTTCTCCCAGCTCTATTAACAATACTTTTATTTATATATAGAAAAAATTGCTGCAAATAAAACCCAACTCTTACACACACATACCTCTTCACTTTCAAAAACTGGGGAGAGTAGCTCCAATGCATCACAAACATCTATCATTTCCCATTTACCCATCAACTCTATAGCCTGCTTTGCTTCCTGCACACAGATCATCAGGAAAATGCTAAGAAATAACTGAACATTGTTCAGAAACCAAAAGAGGATATATAAACTGAAGGGAACCAATCAATTTTTACGTATATAAAGGAGGTCTACAACTGCAATGCTTCAATAGATTTTCAATAGTTACTATTTCAGGAGTGTACTAGGAGCCAGAGGATGCTGACCTGGACATCACTCCATTCAACACATCGAAGAAACTTTGTGAGAGCCCTCTTCTCAGACATCAGTGAGAATCTAAACTTCCATAAGAGCTGTCTCTCATCTCCACTCAAAGTCCTTGTAGGTGGGTATTTTAGAATTCTTTGAATTGACCTTACAGTTAAATATTATGAAAATTAATATGCTTCCTAATGGGATCATCAACCATATGGAAATAAAATTTAACCAGTAGCACATAATGTAATCAGAATAGCGCCAAAAATTCATAAAATACAACACTGGGTTTCAAGTGTTAATTCTATTAAGTAAGAATGGAGAACAGTACAAATGAAATAAAGATTTGAATGAAAATAAAATTCTAATTCAAACACAACATTATATTCAATTTGTTATGTGTTTTTGTGACTCTTCCATTGAAGGGGGAAAACAAATCCACTATTACAGAATGAAAGATACAAGTGAAGTTTTTTTTTTGAAATAAAAGTAAAAGATACAAGTGAAGTTGGTCCACTTATGTATTAAAAATGCAAATTATAACTAAATTCCATCAATGTGTCAAAGAATTAAGATCTAAAATAGAGGGGGCAAAATAAACTTGACCCACTAGAGAGCAAGAGTTATTATTTATTGTAGAAAAAAGGATCAAATATATACAAGGAGAGAACCAAGGTGGTACCACCTCATCTGCAAGAGCTTCCTAAAATAGTCAAAATATCAAAATGGCAGTCCAAATCTTCGTTAGAAATTAAAGGATGACTAAAAAGCTGAGGATATGGAACCAAGAATCCCGAACTCTACTAAAGGGAAAAGCTAACCCCTCAAAGGCCCTTACGTTCTCCTTCCAAATGATCAACACAGTAGCTAGGGGATAAGAGAGGTGAGTTTTTTCTTGCAGTTATCACCCTATATGCCATGCCAAATTTGAATTTCTTCAATCACAGGAAATTTTTTAATTTCTGGGTCATGTATTATAAATAGATCCTGTCAAAAATTGTCAGCTCTCAGGACATCTAGTCTTCCTATATTTGTACCTTCCTGTTCCTCCCGAATAATATTTCTTTTTCTATTAAAAATGTTGTCAATTCTCCAAATATAAAATTATTATTATATTGCATAACAGCACATACAGTAACATGATAGTTTCAATGGATTCTAGTTCACCACAAAAAGTCCAACAATAGACAAAATAAGATGAACAAATAATGAGAGCTCGGATGTTCTTTTAACCTTATGACAGTAGCCAATGTTAACAGAAAAGTCACAGAAAAGGACACCAGAAAAGTACAATTGAATCTGTAAATAGGATTTTGAAACTTACTTCCGCTCATTAGAGCTAGGCTTCAGATCCCTATCAATGATACCACGGGTTAAACTCCTAGCAAGCTTTAGTTGTTTGTGCTCAGAGGGATTTATCTTTCCCAATTCTGGGTCCCACACAATAACAAGTTCATTTGTTGAAGCTATTGGTGATGCTATAAAGAAATTTGCTCCAGACTCCTACAAGTCAGAAAGGGTGTGAAGAGGTTAAAAGCATGTAAACAACTTTGATCAAGATAATCAGACTGAATTGGTTCATTCCAAAAGATCCACCCTTTTTATCAGTGGCATCTAAGACATTCTCCACAAAGACTACAATGATTAAATACATGAGAATAACTAAAGGTGAAGAGAAAGAGAGAGCAGAAAACATCAGCCACTAGTGACTGTTGTTAAAATATAAATGGTTTTGATTTTGATTTGGACCATCTGATATGGCTGGGTTTTTGCAAGGTCTATTCGAGAAAGCAATAGCAGTAGAATAGAAAATATATCAACCTATCCAGAGGCCACTCCATCATTATGGAACTTTTGAAAAATAGAAACAAAAGAAAACATATATATCATCTAGAACAAGAAATAACAATGAGAGAAAGGAGAAAGGGTTAGTTATTAAGTGACATCTGTGGCACAATTTTCATAATGGTCATATTTAATGGGAAATGTCACAAAAAAAAACAAAAGATACGTAAAGAAGGAAAATCAAATCAGAATTCAATTGCTCTTCAAGTAAAAAAAATTATAAGTATTTGTAAAGATTCAGCTAAACATTCAGCAAATAGATCTTCATTCCAAAAGATCCACCCTTTTTATCAGTGACATCTAAGACATTCTCCGCAAAGACTACAATGATTAAATACAAGAGAATAACTAAAGGTGAAGAGAAAGAGAGAGCAGAAAACATCAGCCACTAGTGACTGTTGTTAAAATATAAATGGTTTTGATTTTGATTTGGACCATCTGATATGGCTGGGTTTTTGCAAGGTCTATTCGAGAAAGCAATAGCAGTAGAATAGAAAATATATCAACCTATCCAGAGGCCACTCCATCATTATGGAACTTTTGAAAAATAGAAACAAAAGAAAACATGTATATCATCTAGAACAAGAAATAACAATGAGAGAAAGGAGAAAGGGTTAGTTATTAAGTGACATCTGTGGCACAATTTTCATAATGGTCATATTTAATGGGAAATGTCACAAAAAAAAACAAAAGATACGTAAAGAAGGAAAATCAAATCAGAATTCAATTGCTCTTCAAGAAAAAAAAATTATAAGTATTTGTAAAGATTCAGCTAAACATTCAGCAAATAGAAACCTGATGATAGCAGATGGGCACTAACCTGAAAAACAACTCGATGTTCAAAACTACAGAAATCTACAACCAAGTACAAATGGGAACTTCCATTTTTACAGTTCTCTTGCTCCTTAATTCTCTCTACAGCCCTGAATGTTAGTCGGTCCAGCCAATCAGCATGCTGGATTTGTCCCCTTTCATACTTATTGACAAGCTTTTCTAAACGTTCCAACTCCCCACGCTCGTGCTTGGGGACCTACAATTTAATAAATTAATTGAAATTTGAAAAACATTTAAGTAAATAACATTTATGCAACCAAAGCATTTAAGTAAACAATGTTTGTGGAACCTTCATCTGCCATATCTATATTAGAGATAGAGTAAAAATCAAAAACCTTTCCAGGAGTTGTGGTAGGAAATGAACCATCTGCTTCTCTCCCAGGCCAAAGCCTAAGCTTTTGCTTCCCTGTTTTGAGCTGCATTTTATTGTTGAAAAGAAGAATGGTCGCTCCACCAATTAATCCTTCATCTTTTCCACATGAAACATCCCAGACCTAATTTCCAAGAAAACGGCAAAAAGTAAAATCTTGCAAGTTAGGTATGTCAAAAGAAATCAATAGCATCATATTCATATCCTATCATAACTAAATTCAGAAACATAGATTAGTTAAAAGAAAAATAACTCCTACACAAGAACTTCACTTCTTGGATCTTAAGAAACAAGCAGGCATTGACAAAGAAAAATGAGAAAATCTGCAGATAAATCTGCTGATGCATAAATCAACCCATACTTGCAAAGAGACAAATTGTAGGGGGTCGTACCATCATACCATCCCAAAAAAGGTGTAGGAATAAATTTAGAAAGTGTGATTGAGACATGTTACTTAGTAAATGTTCGATATGGAAAAGTGTAATTAAACTACATAGTGAAAGAGTAACAGCTGTTGGGTTCCCCTAATCTTTCATGACATTTTATGGTTCAACTTACTGTGATCCCCATCTTAAGAAGCTTTGGACTGCTTAGTAGAAGCCAATGATGGATGATGGTACAGTGGCATTGAGCCATATGTGAAATGTGGAAGATTATTTAACTGCTAAGCCAGTGAAATGCCTTAATAGTATGGTCCATGAAAATGCTTTGTATATATGGCTCTATAACAATCAAAACTTGGGAGCAATTAATAGACACTAGAGGGCCATTGTGCCTTTTTTTGTAAAAAAATATTAGGGGTATATAGTTAATCACATCAACAAGAAGAAATGTCTTTCCCATAAAAGGGAGCATCTAACTAGAATTCACCACTTACTGTCAAAGCCAGTTGTGAGTGTGCTGTTAGGTCTCGGTATTTGGTGCTCAACGTTATAAGTTCATTCCAGCAATATGATGGCCCAGTAGATTCGAGCCTGCTAATTGCAAGAAACATCAATATTTAAAACATAGAACCTAAACAATGTCCATGAAAGTTGATCCAATTGAACATGGATTTAATATAATGAAACAAATGCAAAGACACATGACCATAGAGTAAACCACCAAGAGAGCAAGGTTATAAACTGATTTCTAGATGACCTGAAGTTATAAAATATCTACCAGAAAACAGCTCAGTATAACCATCCTTTCCAGCTAACGACAATCAAAAAGTTTATAAAGAGAACTAGTAACACCTCCCAACACGTGTATGATGGCGAAACTGGACAAAACAACATAAATTTGCAATCACTTTCTTTATAAATTCTCAACAAGCAGTCAAGTTATTGAAAGATAAAGGAATGCAACCATATTATTCTTTTTCAACCTTGTTCTTGTAGGAAGGCCAAAAGGAGCACCATCAATGTATAATGCACACTCAACATATAACTCCACTCTTCTCTCCTCTGTAGTTGAATCAATTCCTGCGTGGAAAATGGAAGGACCACAATAATGAGAAGGAGGTAGATGCATCATGGTAAGTCATAATGTTAAAAAAGATTATTTCAAACAAAAACATACAGAGAGGGAAAACATACAACATGGCAAAACTGGAATCTAGTGGCAGTCAATCCATTTTAAGGCTTCCAAAGAATGTGTATGTATATACATACACTTCCTTCCAGATATACAGCCATATTAATATCATTATGTTGAATTACTGAAAATAGAAATTTTAGCCAATTAACAGAGAATTTTAATCATTTTCGGAAATTGTATTACTCGACGCTTTAATGAAAACCCACAAATTTAAGATGGTTTACTACCGAATAATCACGACATCAGTTACTTAAAAGGCCTAAAACTTCCTCAATGATCACCGTTTTTCGCTTCAAAATTTTGAATACGGGGCTGCCAATCAAAATTGTAGAACATAGGGCTCTAATTTCCAACTGAATCAAACTCCAATCTAGCATAGGTGCGTGATAACTTAGCTTCCACCAACTCAAAATTTGAACTAAGTATTTAGTTAATCTCAAAATTATTCTTCTCCCCTATTCTTGGCAACCAAAGACTCAAATAGGTCAAAAGATTTCGGGAAAAAAACCATACCTGTCTCGGTAGTTTTTGTAGGAGGCAAAGTTCCTTCCAATCTCTCTACTCGGAAGGTGACCGGTAAATTGATATCACACGACAAGAAGAACCGAAACTCGCTAGCACTCATGATTTCTATGACCTAGAAACTCATAATTGTCATGGTAGTGTTTCGTAAACTAGAATCTTTTAGGCGTGAAAACTATTGAATTGCAGAGTTACTATCAGCTGAGAGTTTGAATGAAAATTCCAAACAAATGGCGAGACCAAGGAACTTTGTCTCCCAAGTTTCAAGCCCAAGGGCGCAGCGGTGAGGAAAGAAGAAATATGCAGTGGGTCTGCACTTGATCTTAGCCAAAAGAACGAGAAAGATAAAATTACGTAGTAGTGCGGGAAAGTCTGACGGGCGCTGCCGTGAAGAGGGAGAGATTGATTGACGATGCATTTCTTTTCCGGAGGCAGAGTAAATATGTATGACTCTATACTAAATCAATTTTGATTGGACGGAATAGAATTTCATTTTTGTTAAAAAAAAAAAAAAAAGACAGTTACGCTTCTAAAGTAAATTTTAAATATCTAAAATATAATAAAAATACTAAAGTGAATTTTAATTGGATGGAATAGAATTTCTTTAAGAAAAAGAAAAGCATAAATATTTCAAATATGTAATCTGATTAAAATTTTTGGATATCTAAAATCTAAAATTTAATAAAAATAATTAAATAATTACATTATTTCTAGAATTAATTAATTGTATCTTACATTATTATGTTAAAAAAATTAAATTAAATTCTCCTGTTTCAATTGATTATCTATTATTCATCATAAAAATTAATATTTTATTTCTTTAAAATAAATTTTAAAGATAAAATAAAACTAAAATAATAATATATGTGATCGTTATTTATTTAAATATTTTATACATAATATTAGAATTTGATTTTCAATCGAGTAAAAATATATAATATTTATATTTATATTTAAATATATATATATATATATATATAAGCAATACCGAAAGATGATGTTTTCTTCTATTTTTAAAATAAAAATAAAAACAAAATTTTAATATGAATTATAATATATATTCTGTAACGACAAAATTTTAAATATTATTTACTTAAATTTAAAATATAAAAATAAAATTAATTTGATAATTTTAATTACATATATTAGATAGAGAGAAAGTTTTAAATATTATCCATTGAGCTTTTAAGATACAAAAATAAAATTAATATAATAATATAATAGTTATCTATTTAAATTTTCTAAATACAAAGATAAATTTTAATTTTTAGTTAATTATAAATCTACAGTTTATAATTTTTAAACATAAAAATAAATTTAATAATATATAATAATTATTTATTTAATTTTTTAAAAAAATAAATTTTAATTTTTAATTAATTATAAATTTTATATTATGTAGTTATTTTTTATAATTATAATCCCTATGTATGTAAATGAAACTGAGAACCTAAATTAGTAAATAATTATTGATTTTTACGAGTAAGTCTTAAAAATGAAGCTCTTGTATTGTAATCAAACATTCCAAACATTTAAATTTTAATTTATCATTTATTATTTTTATTTTAATATACAATGCCATAAAACCCATATAAGGTTTAAGTGTTTCTATTTATTTTAGTATAATATTTCGCTGTCCTGTTTAATATTTGAAGAGTAAAAATTTATTAAAATATCATTATTTAAAATAATTCACTAAAACTAAATATTTTTAAAAAAAATGTCTATTTATTAATTTATACATATAAATTTAAATTTATTTTTATATTTTAATAGAATGCCTTTCGCATAATGTTAAAATTAGATTGGTACCAACTTACTATGGAAAGATCATCTTCTAAAATTATCATTTGTCACTAACTATTTCATAAATTTAACATGTAAAAAATTGATTAATTTATTATTTATATCACAATAATTGTAACATAGTAAACAATGTATATACATATATATATTGATTAAAACATCACCATCAATTATACATTAATTATAAAAAATATCCTGCTTCAATAAAATATATGTAAAAAAGTTCTAATATTTTTATACTGAAGCTATATGCAGTCTTATTTTAAGACAAGTTGTTACCAAAAAAATCCAAACACTGATCTCATACAAACATCTTTCACAACTAACAATCATGGCCGTCTAGTAAATTTTGAGAAATCAGGACGTCTGCGCTGCATATAAGCTGTCTTGCCCTCGTTCCCTTCTTCAGTGCCATAAAATATGAGTGTGGCATTTCCGCCAAGTTCCTGGACATATATGAGTAGATTTAAGCAGTGGTTAATAAACAAAGAAGGCAAAATCAGTGGCTTGTACTACAGGATTTAAGATCAGGAGAACTCATAGGCACAAAAGGATTCCATTATAGCACGCAGCCATATACATGGAAGCCATAAATATGGCACGGAAGAATTTTGATAGTTGGCAGTGAAATACCTGAAGTCCTGCATGACCGTCATCAACTGCATTCAGAGATGATTTAAGGACTCGAATAGCCGTGGGGCTATTTCTTATGATTTCTCTACACCATTTTATTGTTTCTTTCTCTAAATTCTCTAGCTACACAAAAACAGAAAAATAAAAATTTAGCTAATTGGAGTGTAGACCAAAAAGTGGTTTTGAGTGAATCATTCAGGTAGGGGGGGTATATGATAGAATCATAGAATACAACTAGGTAACTTATTGTCTTATGCCACCAGGAAGGCTGTCAAAACAAGTTTCTTATGCCCCATTTGAACTCACCGGTACAACAGTGTTCACTAGTCCCATTTTCTCCGCCTCAGAAGCTGTATAGAACCTTGCTAAAAACCACATTTCGCGTGCCTTCTTAGGCCCTACCTGTTTACCCAGAAGTCATCTCAAAAATGTATCTCTATCAATTCCTGAAAATTATAACCATCACCTAACCAAGATACAACAGGATGTACTTCTTGATTAAAAACAACATTGTGTGTGCAATATGCAAGCAACATAATACATGCACCCAAGTAAAGAGACACCTCTGAATCTAATGCTTACCAGTCGGGACATTATCGAACTTCCATAGCCAGCATCAAAGCTTCCTACTGCCATACTTGAAAATATTTAGTGATTGTAATAGATGAATTTACAGCAGATGGTTAGGAGCAGCATTGTAAACTGGCATTTGTGGTAGCCAAAGCAAGCAACTCATGAGGATTGATTGCCACATACTCCCCCCAAAAGTGGGGGAGACACTGTGAGCTTCCTATATTATTTGGTTCAGTAGCTACAAAGTAACAGAATTTCAAGCAAGCAACTTCATGCGAACCGTGTATGTGTTTAATTAGTTCAGAAATTTATAACTTAATGAAGGGAAAGAGCTTTCTTTAAATATATAAGCACCTTAGGACCTGTTTGGCCAAAGATGGCATTATCTGCTGCAATAGTTAGATCACAAACCATGTGCAGCACATGTCCACCTCCAACAGCATAACCAGCAACCTGGTTGACATAATAAGGTACACACACAACAAGAATAATATAGATCAGTTAGGAAGTAAAGAAATATAAAAAATGAGCACAAATACGCTATAGATAGCAGTACTACAAGAAGTCTCAAAAACTTACCAATACAGAAACCTTTTCATTGCAGCAAATCTATTTCATGAAATTATCAGTATGCAGGGCTATAAAGGCTTACCATAGCTATAACTGGCTTTGGAAGACGGCGAATTTGTACCTGCATAAAATTAAGATAAAATTTTGACACAAGTTTGAAAGGCAGTGGAAGTGAATGCCTGCCGTTGTTAGAACAGTACCTGCAAGTCTAGAACATTCAGACGCCCAATATCTTCAGAATCAGCATAACCATCAGCCGTTCTCAGGGCCTGGTCGCCCCCACTACAAAATGCTTTGGTTCCCTACAGGAAAATCCTCTAGCTATGTTGCTTACTAATTTTAATTATCAGATGCATTATCTGTGTAATACTACTCGAAATACCATTTCCTGATTTCTTATTAAATTACTCAAATTTTGCAGTCATTCTCAACCAATTACTTGAAGAAATTGTGTCAATGACGCTTACGTTATCTTTTGGGTTTAAAAAGCAGATCTTAGTGGCAAATCCATCAAATGAACTTAAAAGCTTGAACTTGTTCTAAGCATGTCAAAATTATACTACTCGCCCCTGGTTCACTAATCATCATAGAATTTCTCAGACAAATTTGATAATTTTGGAAGTTAGAATATAAAATTTTGATAATATTTTTTAGCGGAGTCGCTCGGAGGATGCAATCCGTCTCAGATTTTCTTACAGCTCAATCAGGAAGTTTAATGTAGAAAATATCGGTACCTTGCCAGTGAGAATGACGACTCCGACCGAAGCGTCGTCCCTGGCATCATTAAATGCGCGCATAAGCTCCTTAATTGTCTGGGTTCGAAAGGCATTTCTTCTCTCTGGTCTATTTATCGTGATCTACAAAACCCACAACATTACCATCGACCACTTGCATTTATCACAGTATCCAACAACACAGAGAATCAAAATTTAGGAGTAGGTTACTTTTGCTATTGCTTCTCCGACTGCTTTCTCGTAAATAATGTCGGTGAATTCCGTGCCGAACTCATCGCAGGCAACACTCCAGACGACGTCGTGACTGCGCACCGCGCCATGTATCCGATAGTAGCTGTTATTCGTTGAAGCATTATTGCATAACTCAAGGGAATAAGCCTTGGGATCTGGAATCGAACGTCCGGAAATCAAATGGTTCGCAACAGAGGCCACTCTCCTTCTCATGGCATCGATTTCCTTTTCTGAAACTTGAGCCATTATTGCACGAGCTCCACGAACGTCAGTCGTTAAGGTCTTTAGTTGACTACTGATTTATTAAGAGTTACTGTTGATTTTCTTCTTCCTATTCTTTAAATAATGAGTTTGAATTTGAATGTGACTTTAGAAACGAAAATGACGCACTCTTAATTTTTCTTTTCAATTATTTTTGAGCAGACGGGATAGAGGTTGAAGAAAGGTAATGGTTGGGATTCTGTTTCGTATGACCTCTCCGCCAATGGATAAGTCGATAAGATAAGGAGCCGAACACCCGCGCTTCGACAGTTTAACGGCTTTCTTATCTCGCGGTAAAAGTAGAAAGAGTGCGTTTCCTCGATCTGAAGGGAGAATCCTTAAAACGGTGTCGTTGAAGATGTAAGTGAAAGAAAAAAGTAACAGAGACGGCAACGTTCTTCCCCTAGCTAGTCGTCAGAGAAGACGGTAACGTCCTTCTCGATTGTTTCTGACTTGCTCTCGAAGAGGTAGAATTGGGGGAAGAGGACGAAGAAACGGTATCAAGGACAACGCAGGAAGAGGAAAACGACGCTGTTTCATCGTTTTGATAGCCTCAATTAACTCTGATTGAATTCATTGTAGAATGACCGTATTGATTCATTTTCAGGGGAAGATTCATCAGTGCCAATCGCTAGACCTAAACGTCTTTCCCTTTTCAGCTCAATGTGACAACGGTATGGGTTCACCATCAACAAGTTTATCTTATCAGGATGTGACTAGCTCACTAGTGTCCCAGAAATGGTGAATGGGAGAGTGGCTATTCATGTTATGTGTGACAAAAGTTTTGTTTGTTATATTTCCATCACCACTCCTGTATCTAAGATTGTCCCTTTCGGATAGATCAGTATGAACTCATTTTATGAGTATGTTCTAATGAATTCTGGATATGAGTTGTTAGTCAGACACTGAATACATACAACATTGCCTTGCCCACATCATAATCTTTTTCACTGCAATGAATTTTAATGGAATTGAGATTCCACTGCTGCCGGTAATGTGCTGAATGGATCTAGGTTGTGGTTGCAAGGTAGAAGCAAAGAAAGTCTTTGCTAGTGGCAAGTTCATGGATGTGCTTTTAGAAACCTAAGAGAATGTGCTACCTAATAATCTGTGTTTTGGAAAAGATTCTTTATAGTATAAATGATAAAGTTTTCATTTTCCTAAAAGATTGAACTTTTAGATAATTGATCACTTCAGAAATGATTTGATCTCTTATAGGACAAAGGTTCTGCTAACCTTAGAAACCTCATTTTCTTATTATTCTTTTACCTGTTTTCTGGACACAATTGGGGATTATGCAAAGTTCGTTAGTTTGTTTTCTGCCTGCACTCGTTAGGGTTCAGTTTCACATGTTAAGCTTGTTATGCTGCTTGCATGGAAATTGCAATTTTCGATTTAATTAAATATCTAGTTCAAGTCCCCCTACATCTCATGTTCCCTTGAAAGCAATGGAGTAATCAATTATTTATCAAAGACTGAGTAGAAGGCAAGCCAGGAATAAAACTTTTAATTGTGAGGTAGCTCAAGTGATCACAGTGTTACTACTGTAGAGATGCATGTAGCTTGTTGTTTATTTCTTTAGGAGAGACATGTGCGGATGGGTGTGAATCCTTCCTCTTATTTCTATTAACTATTTGGTGTTGTTTCTGTGCTACTTACGTTAAGATGGAGCGATATCTACAGTAACCAAGTAATATTAGTTACATAAGGAGATGATACAAGATTCTTCTGATGGAAAATTTTAGCATGTGGTGACTCACTGATAGAGTATACTCTTGATCTTCAGTTTTTTCTCGAGTTGTTGATATCAGGACATTTTGACTGTTTCATCTGTTATTCTTGTTTTCTTTCCTTGCTATGGAAATAAGCAAATTATGTTACTCTCGGCTGCCGGCCTTTTCTATTCCATTGTTTGTTATACAATTCTAACATAGCTTCCTGAGTTGTGTTTTTGGCGTTATTTAGTAATTTTTATCATGAGAATCAATCCTTACTCGTTGCTGGGAATGTATAATGGTGAACATTTAGTTTTAGAAGTTTATAGAATTTCGATAACTAGATTTTATAAATCACTAAGAACTATCAATGACACATTATTCATCTTCTCGAGCTTTTTTTTCCCCTAAAAACTTGATGAAAGATGGTCCAATGTACAGTGAAAAAACGTTTGTGGATATGAAGGTCATATTGGATTTCTGACCAGCTGACTTTAGGTGGAATGAGTTCAAGATGTGGTTCTCAAGCTCTCTTCTTTTCCTGGTCTTTTTTTTTTTTTTTTATAATAACATTACCAAACTCGCCTGCTTCAGGAATGTAGATGTTTGATGAAATCTGTTTAGCCTTGCTTATTACTTGTCCATACATTCTGAGGCTTTTGTATTCAAAAAAATTTATTCAATATTTATATCAAACATTTGTATATCTATAGATGGTGATACATTTACTACTTCACATCTAGTAATCAGGGACTAGTGTGCTATTCCACAAGGAGAAAATCCAATCTCAAACGAGGCTCCCTTACCCAGACTCTAACTGATAATAATCCCTGTATACTGTTATAGAATAGGAACTAATATGAACCTACTAACAAACACCTCCTACAGAGTAGGACTGCATGAATATACACTCTTTACCTAACTTTTGTGGTATAGAAGGGGTCTAAAAATCATGCTGACCACCATGAGAAATCCATATATTATCTGGAGTAAGTCAACATATATCTTGATCAGATTGAACCCCATTTCTTGATGGCTTCCCTATCTGTAAACAAGCAATTGGAGGGACAGTAGGAGTGTTTAGCTCCCCAAATGTTTGCCAGCAAAAGGGCTCATAAAGATGGTATGCTTGTTGCAGTGGCTTTAGCTCTATGGCTGCTAGATTTACATCTGTACATGGCAGGCTGTCACTGCAAGCGAAGTGTACAGGTTTGACTGTGTATGTTCCCCTTATTTTCTCATAGGTGATTCCTGATAGAGCCACTGCTGATGTTTGGTTCTTACAAGTGCTTTTGTCGCAGTAGAATTGGTCAATCACAATCGGAAGTTGGACCTCAGAAACTTGAATGTTTGAGAACAGAACCCCCTGCACAGAACCTGATCCACCCTGCATATTTTACATTGACGTTATATTTATGAACAAGTACTAGCTTCTTGAATGTCTGCAAAATTTCAACAAATTTCTTAAAACTGTTAAGAGCTAAGAACTTTTGAGGAAAATGACATTTTTTTAGTATTATGACAACTTGGAGAGTAAGATATCACTGAGTGATAAATAAAGATATCTAGCTATAAGAAAACTTATAACTTTGTTCAATGTTTGAACCTTATCAAGAGGAGGATGACAAAGTCTTTATGTTAGTGCAACTTATAAGGTAGAGGGTTATTTTTTTAGAAAGAAAAAAGGTATGAGGTAGAGGGTTCTTGAAATGGCTTAGAATGAAAATGAAACATAGGAAATACTTTTTTGAGTCTCAAAACTTCATTTAATTGATTTTCAGTCTAATACAAACAAATTATCCCAAATCATTTCAACAAAAAGGGAATTAAGATTTAAATCCCTCGTCTTGCATGTGCTTTCAAACTTTAAAATTTGGATCCAGTTTTTGCCATAATTTTATCTCTTGATTGCTTGACTCAATAGGTTTCTAGTCATGTGGGATTGAAGCTGGTAGTATTAATTTTGTTACCTGCCATGTCTTGATTCTGACACCATTCATGGTGTTGTGCATCACAATGTCCCGAACAGTGATGTTGGAAACACACGCTTTGGTATTATACCTACCCAGGCTTCCAATGCTGATTCCATGCCCTGGTCCACAGTTCACATTGTGTATATATACATTTGAGCATCCAGTTTGTATTGAAACACAGTCATCTCCTGCACACATTATTAAATTTAAGAGTTGTATTAACATAAATATGACTTTCTATATAAGCATGCAAGTAGTTTCCACCAGACTTGTTTGATAAAGACCTTTTGAAGTTTCATTTTATTATGCTGAATCTTTTTTAGGTCTGAATTGAGGCAACCCTAGCTGACAGAGGGACAGAAGCAGAAGTTCTAGCAACTGAAGTAAGATTAAATGTAACTGGATGGAGTAAAATACAAGATGTATTCTAGTTATTTGTGGGATACAAGTCTTATCAAAATCAGATGGCTTTTGGATGACTCTGGGCGTTAAAGTTATCCTATATGTGGCTGTGGCATTAAATGTTGAAGATTGATTCTGCCACGTGTCACATTATTAGTGTTCACAAAAAATGTGGGGACGAAGGTTGTAAGCAGGATAAGTGGGGACATACTTTCCACAACCGTATTCCTATCCCAGGTATTTCAATTATGCAAACTTTTTCTATATGTAACTAAAAAAATTCACCAGTCTTCCTAACTTCTTGTGTTTGTTGAGCCAATAACCTCAGTTGTGGCTCTGCAGGTCTTTTAGTTCCTTTTCGTCTTGACGCAAGCTCAGCCTATGGACCACAGTTATCTAAACTGAACATGTTATGTAAAATTATCAGTAGGAAGAAGTGAATTTACCGCAAGCAAGATTAGTTCCATGAATTAGCACATCTTTGGAATTCTGTAGGTGTATCCCATCAGTATTAGGACTGTCACCAGGAGATGAAATGCTGATATTATGTACCAGGACTCCCACGCAGTTGTCAAACTTGAGGTGGCATTGGGGACTGTTTCGAATTGTTATACCAGTGACTGTCGCATTAAAACTGCCGTAGAACCTCAGTGCCTGTGCAAGAAAGAAGACAACAGTCCTGTTAACAAGCTGCAGAGTCAAAATTTAATCTTGGAAATTATTATAACTTCTTAGCAATCCTTACAGTTGGTTTGATGCTTGGCATTTTCCCATTGAGTTCGTTTCTTACCTGCCACAATTTTCACGGGGAACATAATTAACAGGAGATATGATAGGAAGTAATAGCAGGGTAAAGTACAAACTGCAAGAGATGGTTACCGGCATTGGTGGGTGTTCTTGTACTGTGTTGTTTAGCGGTATAATAAGCTTTGATTCGTCATCAATGGGATCATCAAATGGATAATATTGCCACCAGACAGAACCTCTGCCATCAATGATACCTGATCCTTGGATTGTAATGCCTCGTAGCTTTGTAAATTCAAGCCATTGTAATAGGCCTTTACCCCAAGGTTTGTTATCAATTGGAGCAATGACTGTGCCATCAAGCTGAGGGAAAATTCAACTCATCAGCTTCAAACAACCAGGTACAAGTTGATCTGATGCGCCTTTGCAATGTTTAAATTATGTTTGGAACGAATTCCAATTTTGTGGATTTTTCCTTTGAAATTTATAGTTTGTATACTTGGGTTAAACATGAAACTGAGAATAAATTTTGGAAAAAAAAAAAAACTCTAATAAATTTATATAAAGGTAAACATATCAAACGTTTTGGTAATTTTAAAATTTATTTGTTCGAAATATAATGTCAATATATATTGTTTATGTCATTTAATATACTAGTTCCTGTAAAGGCCAAATTATTTATGGGAGCAATAATAATAGCACGCACACTGCTGGTTTTTACCTGAAAGACGATGTTTGGTTGGCAATATGGACCAGAAAATGAGATTGGACCCACGAGGAACACATATTCAGCCGGGACGATCACCGTTGATGCTTCAACTTTACAAGCAGATGCCCATGCAGCTTGAAATGCCTGCGTTGCATATTATCAATATCCTCTGTGAGTAGCTATAACTACGATCATAGAATTATGGTTGGTGGTGGTTTGTGCAGAACTACATACAATTATTGTTGGAATCATGAGTAAACTGTCCGTAACGGGATTCACTTTTTTATTTTTCTTTCTTTTAGGCGGACCCCACATGATTGTGTGTTTCTCCTGTATTCTTTAATTTTTTTCCTCCCTTGTTTTCTTGCATTATTTTTTGTGCACCTCATATTTATACTCACTTGATTTTACCAATTGAGAAACAATAATAAAAAAAATGAGGGTAAGCCAGGCCTACTAACTTTATATATTGATCTGATTCTGTTTGGATTTATGGGATGAGTAATGTTGTAAGGTGTTGGAACAAAATTTACTCATAAATTGAATTCATATTTAATTTAAAATGAATGTCAAAAATTTCAGATTACTTTTTAAGTGAATTCTTTTGTAAAATTTCTTTGACACATTCAGCAATACTCTTTTATCTATTGAAATAAAAATAGAAAGATGCCCAATTGACTTAAAATTCAGATTGCCCCTCTTTTTCCAAGATTGCATTATATGTCAATAAAAGAATGTTTGTGCCAAATTGCCAATGGGGCCAGATCAGTCCCGGTCACGGTCACTGCCCGTGAACTCTGTGGCGGCCTGTATGTCAAGAAACTAATCTCTGTGCATAATTTGTGCAGAAGGCTTTGCACGGTAACCCGAACTTGTCTAGTAATAAGCTAAATTTGGTTGATCATGACTTACTAGGGAGAAGTGGAGACTCAGGGACATACCTTGGTATCATCAGTGTTTCCATTGCCCTTTGCACCAAAATCCAGCACGTTAAAGACTGAAGAACGCGAGGGACTCCCGTAGCCTTTTTGCGGCGGCGGTGGTGGGATGTCATCATCTTTAGGGTTATTAGGCGGGGGAGGCGATGGAGCCTTACGAGAGAGAGGAGGTGAAGGAGCCTTGTGAGGAGACGATTTTGATTTTGATTTGACATTGTGGTGGTGGTTACTATGATTCTTGCCCTTCTTCTTGTACAGGGAAACTGAGCTGCTCCTGGTCTGTCTCCAGTGGCGGCCTCTTCTTGCAATGCAGGTGTCAAAACTCGAAGACCAAACCAGAAAAGCAATGAAGAGCATAAATGTTATGCTCCTCGCACTAAAGCCGCTCATGCTTATATTATCTTTGTATATATTCTTGTGTTTGTGAGTGGAAGGAGAAGAGTGGGTTAGAATTAGATTGAGAAAGCAAGTGAAGGGTGAAATGGTTTAAATAGGGAGAGCAGAGCAGTCCAAAGCTCACGAGACTTGAAAGACATGACATGAGCAAAGATTGCATTAATAATTCTAAACATTTATGTCTCTATTTAATTTATTAATCAATTAAATTTTTTTTTATTCTAAACATTTCGCCACATGTAAAATTGTCCCCACATGTGACCACTCATCCTTCAATTGCTGGCCCGTGCAAAACACATCCTCCATCAATTATCAGTATAATAGGCCCAAAACCTCCACTCAACTCTAATTCACTTCTCTTTTTCTTGCTTAATTTTCAGAAACGCCAATGTCTAAAGACATTAAGAAGTAGTAAATGTGAAGATTGAATTGGACGTGGAGTTAAAATACTATATATATTCTTATTCTTATTTGATGGAGTTAAAAGAGTTTGATATTATTACACCTATTTATACAATAAAAGAGCCGGCGTGCAGTTTGCATGGTGATAGAAAAAGTTTTTAAGTTTTGAATGTGTAGACAAATATATGTATATATAAATGTGTTTGAGATAATTGAAGCAAAAAGTAGAGGCAGTGAAGAAAGAAATAGAAAGGAGACGGTAGTTGGCGAATATATATTGTTGGTTTTCCATTTATGTGGCTGGCTTAGAGGTAATGAATATAATAATATATATGTGTATGTGGTGGTTTTGGAATTAAAAATTTAGAATCAAAAGTGATAAATTTTGGAATTTTATAGGAAACAAAAAAGCCAAAAAAGACACACGTGAGTGGGTCTCTATGTTGTCAAGGGCACTGATTAGAACAGTTCTTTTATGGTCACATGCAACGTTCACGGGCTTCATTTTTGTACTTTTTGTCTTCTCAGTCCACAATCTTCCTTCCTTATCTTTTTTTTTTTTTTCCCCAACCCATTTCATCTTTTCCAATATAATCATAATTTACAGACACAGAGCAAAAAAAAGGCAACTGGAACTGTCTCTCAGAGAACTGGGGATCCACAGGTTATGATATATTTTCAGAATTTTAAATTTAAAAAGAAAAACAACATATTTTGTATACGCACACACACATATAGGTATAATATGAAAGAAACCTTTATGCGCCCATAGATTTGCAACTTCGTACAAATTGTAAAGAACATCAACTTGTCCAACTAATAGTACGTAATTAATAATTGATTGTTTAATTTTTTTTTTTTTTTTTTTTTGGCCTCCAAGTCACATGATTTATGTTTATTAATCCTTTTTTAAATTAAAATAAAAGATCAACAGGGAATATCCCTCCTCTAGATATATCAATTTGTGGTTGTATTTCCAGAATAAATTTATATTCATCACTACATGATTCTTCTCTAATTGATCAACCACCAAAGAAGGTTAATTTTGCACCCAAAAAACAAAAACAAAAAGATATATAATTTTGGGAATACATAACAAACTTAAATTAATTTTTCTTTTATATATATATGAATTATAAATTATGGAGTCTGGTGTCTGGATCCTATTTGAAAAAGATGCCAAGTTCAGATTGAGACAGAGATGATTTTCGACATATTATCACGAGAATTTGATGCGACAACCATCATTCTTCTCTGCAAGGCAAGATCATAAACTGAAGAAGGACCCAACTTCAGATTAAAAATTAATCTTCCTTTAACACACACACACACACACACACACATATATATATGTATGTACATACGTGTGTATATATACGAAATTTCGAAATTTTTTTATTCAAATAAATTACATATTTAAAAATATTTTCTTTGATATATTCTTTTATATCGTATAGGTGACAAAATGTAGGATAAAGTTTTAAAAAATTCACCAAAAGTCTTGTTGTGGAACTAAGCCTATATACATTAGATTCCCAATATGTATAAAATGAAAACTCTGTTGGTATCTGTTTGTTTTTAGTAAGAATAATTAGGGTGGGGATATATATATATATATATATATATGCTGCCTGCTGGGTTTTAATAGTATACTCTTATATGCAAACATACATAAGAAATTTACAGAAACGACACCGTATCGCCTGGTAAATTATATAGGTAGGACACAGCAATAATCTTTTATCTCTCCACCCTAGCTTTGACCCTCATGCTCAAGTCCCTTTCCCAAATCTCTCTCCCATTATTCTGCACCTTACTGCATCCGCTGCATATAAGATTGATCTTAATAGATATATATATATATATATATATAACTCACAAATTTATGTGGCTGACGTTGTAAATCAAACATTTGATTGTTTTGTGAGCACTGACTCTATATATATGTATATATATGTGTGTGTGTGTGAGTGGGGGTGAACTTCATTAAATGAAATTGAACATTAATTTTGAAATCAGAGTTGGTTCTTGGAATGTAGCTAAAATCAGGGCCATGGAGTTTAAAATATGTATCCCATAAATGTATATATAACAGTACTACTACTGGAAGATGCGTGTCTTAAATTAATTGGCATGTATGTACCAGCTGCCAACTTTTTTGTACACAATATATACAAGACTTTTTGTCCTAATGAAACCGTTATATCTACACATAATAATATATTTAAAATTTTCTACTTTAAGTTAATGTGCAACAGCTGTCGTTAAATATTTAATTTCTTAGTTTAATTAAGTTAGTTAGTCAATCTTAATCATTCGAGTTAATAACTAACTCGAGTAAAGATTAGTATATAAATGTTATATAATGAAAATTTTTAATTAATGAAAAATTCTACAAGATTTTAAAACACAAAAAAAAAAAAATTATTAACTTATTATCTAATCTATCCAACTTTGAAAAATATTCTTCTCTGTCTCTCAAATTTTTTTATCTCTTATTTCATGCTTCTTGAATTGGAACACAGTATCAGAGCATAATTTCCATTAATTTTTTATTTATCTTATCTTTTTATTTCAAGAATCTTCAAATTAAGTCTTGACTTGACTTCACTTACATAATAGTGTCTATTTGTGAGCCTTGTTACATTTGTCTTCTAGGTAAACAAAAATGAATACCTTTTATATTTCACAATCGTTTGGTCAAAAAATTTATTTAATTTAGTCCAATGTGATGTATATGGGGCCTTACGATGTAAAAACTCGTACTGGTCATCAATTCTTTATAACACTTGTTGATGATTATACACATTTTACTTAGATTTTTCTACTCAAGCATGAGTTTAACATAATTTTGATATACCATGTTTCTTTAATATGATAAAAACATAATATGAATGAACAAAACATAGAAATTAATTGTCATCTTATAAGAGACCATCTGATTTCTGGAGCAATTAAATTACTTCCACTTAAATTTGAGTATTAATTAGCATATCTCTTCACCAAGCCATTGTAGTTGACTTTGTATTTCCATGTACTATTGAAGATGTTTATGGTTGATAACACATAGTTCATCTTGAATGGGAGTGTTAAGTGAATATGTATGCTTCCATTAAATGTTTAACAATTGTCATTTTTGTTTCGTTAACGTTAATCCGGTTTTAGTTACTTTAGTTAGGAAGTAAGAATCACTATATAAGCATTATAAAAGAGAAATTTTTTATTAATGAGAAACACCATGAGATTCATCTTCCTCTTTCTATCTCTCCAACTTTCTCTGTTTCTTGCTTCTTGCTTCTCGAACCGGCAACACCTACTGCAGAGTTATATATAAGCATTACATATTATAGACTATACAGCATTAATTAGATAATATCACATTGTACCTGAAAGAAAAATTCTAATTAAGTACCTTAATGGTACAGCTGTCGAGTAAAATAAATTAAATTAATCAAGAAAGTATATATATATATATATATATAATTTTTTTGAAGATATATATAATATTAATAATATTTATTTTCTTGTCCTTAAATTACTTTCATGATACATACTTTTGGAGACATGCACAAACACCAAAAAAGAAAACGATAATTACTGCGAGTTTAAGTATTGCCTCTCGTGTAGGTTAGGCACGTAGATAAGCATAAAATATAATTACATATATAGATACTTTACATATATATATGTATGTACCCTAGTTTGTGATGTATATTTGTGTATGTATATATAAATTTTTCCCCTTTTGTTTCTCCCATACCCGAGGATATAATATCAGATATTACTCCATATTGCACATTTGGATCAGAATTTTTGTTTATTTATTTACTAGGCAATATATTAATGTAGAATTTGCGTGAACATGCACGGCCGTCTTTTAAGCTTAAAACACAGCCATATATACATATATATGTGTGTGTGTGTGTGTGTATCGACTTTTTGTGAGATGAAGGAAGTTACGACGACCTTCTTAGCCGTCGTTTTGTGTATTTAATGGCTCGTGAACTTGGAAGCATCTCGTGAACTCCATGCAGATGCATTAGACAGATGATTTATTTAAATATATTCCAAATTAAATTAAAATATATACTGAATCATTTATTTTTAAAGATAAGGCAGTAACCGATCATAATTCTTCACTCTAATGATTAATGTTAAATTTTAATTTTCTTTATTATCTGTTTTAGTTAGGTATATAATTAACTAACTATATAATTTTTAATTTTAAATATATTCGTATGATCAACCAACATATATACATCTAATAAAAAAAAAAAATGTTTAAATATTAAAATAAAGAAAAGTGAAACTAGATAATTGATTGATTGATTGAATTTTTAGATATATTTAAATAATTAATTATTTTTAATTATCTCAAAATTTAAATATATTAATATAATTATATATTTTTTATTCCTTAATTTATTTATTACATGAGTTACAAAAAAATTTATGTAAAGTTGGTTTTGGGATTATGTTGCATGATTGCTATATACTCGCGCATATATATATATATATATATGTATATGTACGTGTGTGGAGCTTGAGAGTTATTTAAAGCAACAGATTACTACTTCATATTTGATGTAGTAAGGGGTAATGAATATTAATTGGTTAATTCTATAAGTTGTTAAATTTTGGTATGGATGTTTCTAAAGCACTTTTTTTTTAAAAAAAATTCGTTGTCTCCATTAGAGACCTTCTGAAAACGTGATTGTACTTGATTCCAAGTTACGGCTCTACCGTTTTTCTTGCTGACAACCAGCATGCATATATATATATATATATAATAAGTTTATTTAAAGAGACTAGTAATAAGTTTATAGTAGTATTATAAGTTTCATACAAACTCGTGGAGTCTAAGATGCATTTAATTATAAATTAAAACAACCTGCAGCTTAGATGGGATCAAGGCCAAGTGTCTATATATATATATATATATACACACAGTAGAATATTTCAACTGATGGATATGTGATATATAACTAGCCAACTTTTTTTTTTTTTTTTTGTCGCAAGAGAATTTAATAAGTATTTTTTTTTTTTTTTTATTACAGATACGTTATATTAATTTAATTGAAGGTAACCCTCAAAAACTACGCACACAAGAATCCGACACTTTGTCATGTGAAAGTTAAACTTTTGTTTGGCGTATACGAAAATATATATAATACTGAAAATCCATAGACAGAGAAATAGATATATATATATATATATATATAGGTAGAAAGATTAATTTACAATTTGGAACTTTCAAGTGAAAAAGAGGGGGGGGGGGGGGGGGGGAGGAAGCTTTGCACTGATTCTTGGAACAGCAACCACACATTTCAAATCAAACTCTTAGTGGAGATAAAGATAATTTTTTTTTTTTTCATAAAAAAGAAAAGGGAAAGGTTCACGGATCATTCTAGAGTTTGAAGCTGAATTAATATAATTAATGGTTAAATTAATTACATGTGTGCGCCTTAGGCTGTTATGCCCAATTGGAGGGGTTCACGTTGATGCTGTAAATAGTTGGTGTGTGATGATACAAATTTAGTTTAATATATATATATACACTTTTTAAATTATATACATCAACACCATGTTTTTCATCGTCCAGAAGTATACATTTCTTGTAAAGAAATATTAACTTTTTCTGATAATTTAAAATGAATTAAGACAGTTTAAAAAATAAATAAATAAGATTGCAGCCTCTAAAATTGCTACTTTTTCTACACTATATATCTACATATATATAATCATGTAAATAAAAGAGTTTCTTATTAAGATTACCATATTAATGTTGGGTGCTAATCTCTCTTAATAAATTACAAAACAGGTGCGTTTGTCGGCCATTTTGTTTGTATTATAACATCTTTCATTCATGGTCTAAAATAAACGCCACCCAGAGAAGTCACGGATTGCATACAACCACCCTTTTAACTGTTTATATGCATATATATACATGTACAAAATATTTCATGGAAGTTTAAAGTATACATCATTAATCTCATATGTTCACAAAATCCATCCATCCATCCGTACATAAATGTAATAAATAGATGGGTTTATACGGTGAAATAATCGGAAATTACGTAGGGTGATTTCATGAGTACGTACACATATACTTCTCAAAGATGTATGTATTCATATATACACACACACACACACACACACACGTTGTTTTTTTTTTTTTTTACCAAATTTGGAATGTTCTTCGTTTTGGGGGTTGTAGCGGGTACCGACACTAATTGGACCATGAAAACTATCCATATAGAAATGATTTAACTCTTGCTCATGACAAAGTTACATCAGCTGCTCATTCCATTTAATTAATTATTAAACTTTAACCATTTAGTTTCATTAAAAAGAAAAACTTCAAATTTAAAGATCTCATCACCATTTTATTTCAATTTGGTTTTGTTGATAGAAACAAGTTTGGAAAAATCTCCTTGATGAAGGTATAAAGTGGAGGGTAGGTGATGGTAGAAAGTACACAACTTGGGACTGTACAAAATGTGAAGTTGATTTATCCAGAGATAGGTATGGAATGTGCAGTTAATTAGGGGTTTATTTCTTCCTTTTAAAGTTAAGCAAACTGTTAAGATTCCATCAAGCATGAGAAAGCCCCCAACTAACGTTATTCGGACACATCCTAACGATGGAAATACACAATAAAATCTTTATTATTATAATGTTTGGAGTAGAAGAAATATATTCTCAAGTGCTTCTCTTACTCAAGATATATCACTTTCCCATGGAAGAAGATTTGGCGTAATCTTCGTCTTGCAAATATCCCAACAAAGAGGCGATACAATTACCTGAAGAATACTTGATTGGCTCCGTTGCTGCAGCAGGATTTACTGTCGCATGGTTACTTGGAATTTTATTTTTCTCAAAAAAAAAAAACTCTTCACTGTTGCAGGTTGGATCTGTTTAATTATGATGGCATTATAAGTTTATTATTAAATAATCTATTAACGATCGTAATGAAATTATGCATATTAATGTTTGAGATGGGTAATTAGGTTTAGCAGCGTCTCGTGACTGGTGGGGCATACAATCTTGTCTGCAGATCGTAGTGCATGTGTAGAATTAGACAAAATGGAAATTACGTACGTATATTATGTACTAAACCCTTCATTATATGCTAGAGAAGGATGGGGCTGATTTGAATACGAACATATATATATATATGTATTATACACTTTACAGAACTGAGAAACTCCACCTTTTGTCATCCTTATTTGGAACTTCTGTTCACTTTATACAATAGTTATAATACATATATAGTATAAGGTCGAATACCAACTTTAATCAATTTTATATTAAGACAATTGTGTATTTTTAGAATTTTAATTAGTTAGAGGTGACACACGGGATCTTTCAGTTGATTGGTAAAATAAATTAATGTAGCTGAGGGTATTAAATTGGTGAAATAAATACATAAATCCAAACAAAGAGACATCTTTTCCCAGTTCAAACTTATGTGGAGACAACCTCAGAAATAGTTCATATCTTTTTATTGATTAAAGTGTAGATCATGAGGATGTAAAACGACAATTATGTAACTATATAACCATAAAAAAAATTTATATAAATTGCAATCAAAATCATTATTGGTTCATATATTAATAAACTATTATTATTATGACTCTTTTTTCTTTTTTTTCTTTTTTTTTTTTTTTGATAAAGTAATCAAATCGTTTATAATATATATATATATATATATATATGCACCTTTTGATACTACTTTAAATATTCTCTTATGAAATTTTGGCTTATTAAGAAAAAAGGTTTGAGACATTTGCATAACGTGTAACAAATTGTTGGTTCTTTCGAATTACGAAAACACTTACATGCAACTAAGATACAAGAGGAATGCTATGCTTGGTAAGATCTATATATAAAAATTATCTGAGGTAACAGTATAAATGAATAATACATATCTATTTGAAGTATTTTACTCATATTCCTACCAACTACCGCATCAATTTGTAAATATATATATATATATATGATATAGTTACTATTTTTTGAGATAATAAAAGTGATAATATAATTTTTCAGTGGGAAATGCGATCAAAAGATTTATAGTATAATTTTGGTTGAATTTGATGATAATTTCTTTCTGTACCATCAATTGAATGTTTGATTAGAAAAATAGGATGCATTGAACTCTAAATTTCTTTAAACCTCTGTTTTCTTTTTAATAAAACACTTCTACTTGAGATCTTTCAAGAGCTCGTGTTCGAATCGAACCAAATAAATGAATTACCAAGGAGCTATAAACTTAAACAAAACTGTACAAGTGACATAAAAATTATATGCTGCTACTGTACTGGCTTAAAATTGGATGGAATCATCAACAAAAATCCCAATGTACTTCTTCCTTTTCTTGAGATAACAAGTAACACTTCTATATCCAGGCAATATCAGAAGATTTGGTTGAATAAGAACCAGAATATTTGCAAAAGAGAAAAGAAATTCTACACCACACTTCATACACGGCCAGAATAATTTGACGACGAAAAATTCGTTCATAACCTGTTTAGCGAATGAACTTTGTGTATAACTATAATCTAATATAAACACCTCTAGTTTTTCCAACAAAATTTACCATGGCAACCTCAGCCCATCTATAAGAAGGCTCAACTAGTAATTCTACAATCCGGTTAAGCCAATTCAGTAAATTATCAGATTATTCATGTGCTTATTGGGAGCCAAATCAGAGCTCAGTGTGAATAATTTCATTTCTGTTGGGCATACCAATATCCTCTTTGACTAGTTCCACAAGCTCATTATTTTCGGAAAGTTTAGTTATAGAATACTCTTTGTCCTTGTCATTGGAAGTTAGGCAATCTGCTGCAGGATGAACAACACCATAACCAAAGCCTTGGGCAGAATTGCAATAGGTCTCAACCGATCCATCCTTCCTCTCTAAGTTGATGTTTGAAAGGACTATGTTACTGCAGGGAACAGTGTTACTGCAGGCAAATTTCATTGCTTTTGAACTACTTGTAGTCCCACTAACGTTCCGGTACAGTATCTGACTTATTTCTACTGCTGATGTCTATTAAAAATGCAAAAGCAGGATTTAGAATGTCAAAGTTGTAATTTGATTAGAAGACTACCCCAGGAGTATGGAGTACAATTACCAGGTTTTGACAGGCTTTTGGTGAATCACAATAGAACTGATCGATAACGATGGGATTGGCAACATCATCCATCCTCACATTTTCAAAACGTACTCCACGAACATAACCAGAACCACCCTACACCAAATAACAGAATGAACGGAACATATATTTTAAAAAAAGGAATAAGTGATGCATCTAGGTGTTTGTAACTTTATGTCACATTCAAGAAAGTTTCATAATGCATCAACAGTAGAGACACTATGGTCTCACACCCTTCGTCCCCAACCATGCTCCTCAAGTCAAAAGAGGATAAGCTCTTACATAAGTACAATAGTGAAGATAAACTTGTGGCATTCTAAGTGTTGAAGGATCAGTTTTAACATAATTATGTTGAGATGATTTACAGGATTTGATAGTGATTGGCTATTACCTGCCAAGTCTTGATCCTGAGACCATTTGTTGTCTCTCGGAGGAATGCTGTATCCAAAACCACTTTTGTGACTGTGCCCGTGGAATTGTCCTTCCCAAGGCTACCAATGCTAACAACAAAGTTTGCCACCAAAGAGTAGTTGCAAATTTAAGATTCCCACTTGCAATTAGGGGAGCAAATAACAAAAAATATTGAATGCTTAATAAGAAATTATGGAAACCAAGTAAAAACGAAATTGTACCTAACACCATGTCCTGGCCCACAATAAATTCTCTTCATCTTAATAGCAGAGCTACCATTTACAATTGAAATGCAATCATCCCCTGATATCATAATGATCATCATGAATCACCCATCAGTATGTTCATAAAACAACTTAGGTGTGTCTTATTCATATAAGCTTTGATGTTATATGCAAACAATAGTAATATCATTTGATATGCTCTTCTTCAGAGTTGAACTTTTTAAAATCTGATGTATTATTCTTGTTTCTTCGAAGTCTTAAGAATCCCATTTTTCTTCTTTTGCTAAAACAGAAAATGAGATGAGAAGAGAAAAAAGGGATAATATTTGAGCACCTGTTCCTATTTTGCAGTCCTGGAGGGTGACACCCGTTGAACCAGTGATATGAATTCCATCAGTATTAGGACTGTCCCCGGGAGCTGTGACTTTTATTCCAGATACTCGCACGGCTGTGGAGCGGGAAATGGTAAAATGCATCTGCTGGCTGTTTTGGATGGCTAGGCCTTTTACCTTTACAGCTGAGCTTGAATCTATAGTTAATGCCTGCAAAGAAAATCTTGTATTAACTCTCACTTGCAAACATTTGGGATTTCTGGTCCCACAAGTATTGCATTTTGTTTTTGGTAACATGCCTAATAAATGGATGGGAATAGGTTCTTACAGTTGGTGCTTCTCTGCAAGGCTGTAAAACAGTCAGAAGAACTACAGTTAGCTTCCATTTGCTCAACCAAAGTATACGCTAAACAATTCATTAGCCGATTGAAAAACATTACATTGGACTTATTTGTTTTGCAAGATGCTGCCCACCATTTACTGCCAGAACCATCAATAACTCCATTCCCTTGGAAGATCACCCGTTGCAGATTAGAAAAATCAAGCCAGTTACCTTGGAACTTTGGATCCCAACTTTCACGTTCATCTGGTGCTACATTGTTCCATCAATCTAACAATAAGCACAACAGTAGAGATGCAGGAATTTAAGTTCATATTGATATT